TTGCTGCACCGAGCGAGCCCCTGGCAGCAGGGAACCATGCTCAGCTGCCACACAGCTGGCCCCTGGACCAGCCTGCCCACATCAGGCACGTCCGCTAGCTCACATTTTCTCATGTGAGCCAAAGCATTTCCCCAGCCCTCCTCTGAGCAAGGCCATCTGATTTACCCCATGACCGAACAGGATGGAGGAGTGTGCATGGCCAGGACAAGCTGCCCCCAGCCCCCCATTAAGCCTCCCTCCTTGCTGGGGGGGCTGCAGCGATGGCGTTATGTCGTCGGGGGCTATTTCTCTGGGCACTGCAGGGACCACACGCTCCGCCTGTCTCGACAAAGGTGTGGACGTCACATCCCTCGCCAGCCCAGCGCTGCATAGCTTTAAGGAAGAAACCTAGCGAAGTGCCAAGGGGAAGCTCGGACAGCGCGGCAATGGTCTTTTGAGGGCAAAGCCGGGGCAGAATGCAGGTTAGCTAAGGATAAAATGAGGTGTGAACTGCTCTGCCTTGGGCTGACACTAAAACCAGAACTAGCGGATCTACGCAATTACCCGCAGCAGTGACAAAGATAAGGGACCACAGAATAATTATTCTCCTTTCGAGACTCTTTCCTATAACCAGTTTTGCAAACTGAGGCTGCAGTAAAGGAAAGCCAGGCCCACGATTTGAGACGAGCTATTACCCAAGTAATACCTACACGAGGAGTTTGCTCCCCACCCCTTGGTTTTTATGATTAGCTGCTCATAATGCAATAGTGCTACTCAGATGGGTGAGCGATAGACTGTGATGGTAAGCGACCCAGTGGGCTTGCCAGGGCTCCTACTTTGTTAGGGAAAAGAGAGGGTTGGTCACTGCCAAACCTGCTGCCTGAGGCAGAGCAGTAGCTAATGGAGAGGTCTGGGCTTGAGGCCGCAAACTAGGACAGGTTACACAGCAGAATGCATGTGTCCCTTGACAGTTTGTGGCACCTAGAGTTTCTTAAAAAGAAAAACAGAAAGACAGAAAGAAAATTAGCATGCAGCAGGTATGAGATCTAAAGGGAGACAAGGGAGCGCTCTGGCAGGGCTCAGTGCTGAACGAACTGCCCACTCACTCCATCTCACACCTCTGTGCCCTCCTCTTGCAGTGACAGCCCAGCATGGTGAACTGCTCCCAAAGCAACGACACGGTGCAGGATGGTGTCCTGCTTTTTCAGCTGATTATCTACATCCCAGTTCTTGCCCTCGGGGTCCTGCTGAATGCAATTGCCTTCTGCCTCTTCTGCTGCAAACTCAAGAGGTGGACCGAGACCACAGTGTACATGATTAACCTGATGGTCGCTGACTGTTTCCTGCTCTTTGCCCTGCCTTTCCTGATATACTTCCACCAACAAGAACACCCCACAGGCAAGCTGTGCTTCACCATACAGTGCATCTATTTTACAAACATGCCTATGAGCATCCTCATCATCACAATGATTGCAATTGATAGATACATTGCAATAAAGTTCCCTCTAAAAGCAAAAACTCTTAGATCTCCACTGAAATCAGCTTCTATCTGTGGACTTGTATGGATAACACTCTTAACATATGCCTACTTCCATCCAGAGTTTGAAGAAGGACAAGAACAATTTTGCTTTCAGAAAAGAACTGTTCAGCCTAAATATTCGACATTACTCTCCATTTTATTTGGGTATTTTATTCCCTTGGGGATTGTGATTTTTTGTTCAGTAGAAGTCATCAAATGCCTCAAAAAGAAGATGTCCGCAAGCCCTCATGAGACGAAGTTAATCCAGAAAGCGCTCCACATTGTTTCTGCGAATCTGTGTGTGTTCATTATATGCTTTTTACCTTTGTACACTGTACTGCTCTTGCGGTTTGCAGTGGATGTTGCCGAAGCCTGTTCTCTGATCCCAAAGGTTAGAGTCTCTGTTCAGATCTTTGCATGTTTAGCAAATGCTAACTGCTGTTTGGATGCTTTTTGCTATTACTTTGCAGCCAAGGAATTTCAGGAAACTTCCTCTCTGCTCCCCCCTTGTATTTTCGTGAGGTCGAGGATGAATCAAAGCCAAGATTCACAGCAACCCACAGATCAAGTCATGACATAAGAAAGATGTAGTGCGCTATAGACGTCAATCCCATATCTCATTCTTAAGAGCCACTGTGTTGCTGAAGTTTCAAGGCAGAGGGAATGGAACCACCTACAATATCTGTAATATTTGTGGGTATGGGCATGACTGCAAAAAGGATCAATTCCCTCAAAGGGGTCCAATGCTGACTTGACTTTTGTCCTTCTGACCTCAGTGACTTGAATACAGCTCTGGCTATTGTCTCAGATAGTTGCATTTCAGATCAGGTTCACGTCTCTCCTCTTCAAGAGGGAGATCCACATGGTATGGAGAGTAGATAAGGCTGTTCTTTCGTCATGCACTCATTTGTACATGTAACATATGCATGCAGCTAAACAAGAGGAACTGAGCTCCCTTGCAGCAATGCACAAATCCACTTCTAGTACTTTAATACATATGGTCATTAAAAAAAAAAAAGTCACTGTACTACAAACCAAAGCCTACGATATCTGTACCGCTCACATTAAAAAATTTGCCTGGGCAGTGGTAGTTTCCTAACAACCAATATATTTCTGATGTCTGATGCTACCATCAGAATTTAGCTATCTCTGTGTGCTGAATTAACTGCAGGAGTCAGATAATGGCATGAGAATCGTGCCCACTCCTGCCATATAACGTTTGTATTAGCCTGGGGCAATGCTCTGACATTTTTAAGACTAAAATCATTGTGAGTATAAATAAAGGCATTACTGCATGGAAAAAACAAGCTATGCACAGTGTTATGGACGACACAACAAACATTTAATAGTACTACATAGCATTGTACCTACCAAGCATAAGACTGTGAAGATCTGCTCTCACTCAGCTGATCACTGTAAACCCTGGGGACTAGATTGTTGCTGCTCTTGAACGGGGTCAAATCTCGCATCCTGTCCAGTGAGAGGCGGTCATTTCCGCCTGGGTCACCCCAGCATCACTGCTGTTAGAGGGAGGGGGGCCAGAAGACATCAGTCAGCGACGTGAGCAGATGCATCCCCGATCCCACCCTTGCTATCTATGAACAGTGCTCAGAGTCATTTGCTGCCAGAGGGTCTGTAAGGCAGACACCGTACAGACCTGTGGCTGAGGACTTCTTGGAGCTGCCCCATGTGAGCAGCTCCAAGCATTGCTTTAGATTCGGGGCTTCTGGCAGTGCCTTTTAGATGCCCGGGAGGTCACCAGAAGCAACAAGGCCCCAGCTTTGACTCTGAGGTTGGTCTGTCATACGATTGCTTCCCTCGGCCCAGAGCTGCTCCACGTGAGACACTTCCATGAGTGGAGCTACCAGGCTCCCCGCCCCAGAGAGAGGCTGTGTCCTGCGCATCCTTGCCAGCTCACCGCCCAGCTGAGCGTGCCGGGCTCCTGATAGTGGCAATGACCCTGTCACAGAGCTCATTTTAAGGCATTTAACTCTTTTCATGCACTACATGGGGAGCCTTGATCTATCCTAGGCAGATCCCAGACCAGACATCTATTTTAATGCCTGGCTTTCTGAATACCTAAATCCTTTATAATATCTGCACTTGCTGACTCTGTGCACCAGAAATCACTTCCTTCCCCACAGGGAAGTGACAGCAGAGCAGCTCAAAACAATTAAGCCACAGCATAATACTAAGTGAGCTCCCAGTGCAGAGGAAGGAAGCAAACTATATAAATCCAGTTTGAGGCAAGTGCTAGCGGCTAATCTCTGAAACTGAAGAGTAACCAGCCCCTGGTTGGTTGCTGTGAATCCTCTGCAGCATCACCAGGAGGAAGGGCTCATCTTAAAGTTATTTCTTCTATATTTGGTGGCAGTAGACCAGCAGGGAATACATGCATTCATTTACGCTTTAGTTTCACCAGCTGCTATGTTTCTGCAATGCCATTTTTTCCCCTCTTAGCTAGTATTTATTAATATATACTTCAAATACTGCACAGAGACAGACATATGCACACTCTTTTACTAATATTTTTAAGCTACTGTTAAGATACACTGAGAATAAGGGGAAAAGTCACTTATAGGATTTTGATTTGATAAAGTCAAGAGACGATGGCCACACACGTATTTGTTTCAAACACACACCATCGTTTGCACTGGTTTTCTGGGTCTCCGGTGTCGTGTTTCACCGTGGCTCTCCCGCATCCGTGGTGGGAAACCCCAGTAGAGCGGAGGTTATTAGAGCAAGGTGTCTGCAGCCGTCACTGTGTTTGTGGGCCCACAAGCATCACCACCCGCAACGCATAAATGCCACTGCTCAGTGGAGATGTCGATTGGCTGGGGCAGGGAGGGGGCAGAGATGTCTGCCCTTCCCAGGCCCTGAGGCGCACTCTCCTGAGCAGAAGCCGTCCTTCACCCTGCCTGGGGCGCTGCAGGTGCGAGTGAAGGTACATCACAGGCCCCAGCACCCTCCATGGTCGGTCCTGTGTCACCCCAGCCCTGCTCAGGGCACTGCCCCATCTGTGCACCACGCTGGGGAAGTTCTCACTGCCTTGGCATGCTCAGCGCCTCCTCCACCCTCGGCCATTCCTTTCTTACTGCCCTCATCGCCTCTCTTGCCCTGTGAGAAGATTGTGGGCACTCAAAAACGATGACCAAAACTAGCCACCACGATGGTGGTGGCGCAGCTTACCTCTGTGGCTGCTTTTCCAAAAGCTGTCATCCTCTGCTCGAGTACACACCAGCGGGGTTCAGGGCTACCATCACTCTTCTGGCCCCGAGAGCGTGCTCTCTACTGACTGCCAGGGCACCTTTCTAGTCACTGTTCACAGAAGGTAATAAGAAGCCATAGATTGGCTTTAAAAAGCAACACAAAGCCACATGGCCTGCGAAACAGACGGCTGCATTTACTCAGCAGCCTCCAAAACCGCATAAAACTAGTACGCAACAGACCCAGATTTGAGGAGGAAGGCAAGGAGCAGTTTTATCAAAATAAAAAAAAAAAATCAAAAAATAATTAGCCTACCAGCTCTAGCGTTCCCCTACGATTTTGTTTTGAGCAATGAACCGTGAACCTTCTGCTCCCACCACTGTCCTCAGTCCTGAGGCTGGACCCTTCTCCAGGCCAGGAGTCCAGCAGAGGTACCTTGCCAGCAGCATCAGCAGAGCAAATTCATCCCGCAGAGCTCAAGGGAAGCCCCTGGATTTCCCCTGCAAGAAATCAAACCTGAATTCTTCCAAAGGCCAAGTGCAGCCAGGTTGGAAGTCAGCAGAGAAGGTCACTTACAAACCACCTAGGTGTGACTTTTGTCCAAACACAATCACTGAGGAGGACTTTCCTGCCAGGTCTCATGTGCAGGGCACTTGGTATAGTTCCATGGCGTTCGCTGGAGTGCAGGACCCGGTCATGAGCTGTCCCAGCATTGCCAAGGAGCAAGGACACAAATGCTGGGGTCATTTTATGCAAGCTCCATACGACTTTATTTTGCAGTTCAGCAGTAGATGACACATTGGATGACATGGTTTGCATGAGTAGTATCATGACCTCAGGTAGGACATGGGCCAAAACCGGGGGGCTATCATTAACAGTGAAACACTGAAAAAAATTACACAGGACAATCACCAGACTTTCTCTGTGATTCAGGGTTTTTAAGTATATAAAATATCCTTCTAGTAGCACACATTGGCCCTTTAAGAAGACCATCAGAGAACACATTCAGGTTTATTCATGTACAGGCAGCAAAGCTCTAAATAACAAAGTAGGAAACGGTCTTGTGGCTTTCTCAGTGGTGATAAGAATAGCTTAAAAACGAAAAAGAAAACAGGATTTTCAGCTCTAATGGGCAAGTACAAATAATGTGTCAGATTTAGACAGGATATTCAGGTGCTACTATGCTACTGTGCTACTGTTAACCTTTCCATGAAAGCACTAGCTTCACTGGGCATCTGGGAAGCGTAAGTGAGTCAGAGGTTATAAAATACTATAAATTTTGATTTGTGAATCAAGGATTGTGAAAGTCAGTCTCTGTCTCAGAACTATTAGAGCAATCTGCCAAATTCCAAGAAAAAAAACAACCACGTGTCAAGAAATGTGATCAGCAGCGATGTGAAATAAAATGGTGAGCTGTATCTGATCCAGTGAGTGGTTTTCTCACCCTACATCTAAGGGCAATATTGCTATTTACCCTGCTGCTTCTGCCTGTTCCTGCAGGAGTATATTCTAGGTGCAATTTTTCAAGGACAGAAAAGCTCTGTGAGGACCATGAGATGTCTGTGGAGTTTCCCTGCAAGGGGGAAATGGCTCTATGTGTGCAACTTCCCCAGGCTCTAAAGCATCCTGAGCAAGCAATCTGTAGGGCAGTGCTAAGGAGCCTACCCTCTTGGGCAGCCTTGAAAATCATGTTACCAGAGAATCCTGCCGTGACACTTCCTCTCAGGAGGTAAAAAAGTGTGCTTCAGCCTATGTCTGCAGAAACGCTGTGCTTTAGTTTCCACATGTTTTGGATAGGAGGAACGAATTATGATCCTGGAAGAAAACAGTATAGATCATAACCAGACAAAGGGGAGGCTTAGCAAAGGCTGAGACAGCTCTTAAGCAGTGTAAACCATCTCCAGAACATGTCTACTGTGGTCAGGATCAAAACGAACCTCTGAAAATAAGCTAGAGCTAGTTGTCTATCCGTTCTTCCACGGCCATTTTGGTGTCCCATGGTGGAGGGGAAAGGCAGTGCCTTGCAGAGCTAGAATAACCCGATCAACAAATCGCCACAAGGAATTACCTGCTCGCTCACTGTCCTCTGAGAGACTAAATGTTCCTCCAGACCAGCTGCAGTTTGGCAGGTAGGCACGGATGAATCCTCCAAGTGATGCTCCCTGGCATGTGACCAGCAAATTGTTCAGTGATGACCATTTTTCCTTGTAGTTGCAGCGGCAGCGAAGCTAGCTGAAAAAGAGTGCTTGCCCCTGCTCAATGCGTTTCCCTAGGGCTGAGCTTCGTCTGTAATCACGGTCATGGTTTGTACCACCCCCTGTTGACTGGGAGCCTTAAGTGGCTTTGCTGGAGAGGTAAAATGCTTGTCTGCCATGCATATTTGCAGCGATTTATCTGGTGATGGAAAAGCTTTGATTTTTTTTCTATTGTTTGATTTTCCAGTGCCTGATACTTCACTGGGTAATCGCCCATCCACCTTCCTTGCCAACCAAACTGTGTGTGTTGTTTGGCGTGAAATTGTTGCCTTGAAGAGCTTGCTGAGATCCTGTGCTGTCTTGGCTGCCCCACACACTGACTCTGGAGCTGAGTGTGCTGCCTGCTATCAGCAAGCCGAGCCCCAGGGCAGAGCCAGCCCCACTGGGCCCCAGGTCCTCTTTGCAGAGCTGCTGAAGAGGTAAGAGCTGCAGTTTTGTCTTTCATAGCTGGATTTCGATCTGAATCAGAGTAGTTCTCTCATCTTCCTTAGCTCCCATAAGCCAGCAATTCTGAGAAAATGTGGGACCAGTGACCCACCCTGTGACCTTGTGAATTCTTGACTTTAGTCATTCTCCATGCCACCTCACGTGTTTGTCATCACTTAGCAAACACCACCTGGGCTTCAACTGACCTCTTGTCTAGAGAGGTTTGCTGCCTG